CTCACCTTCTTGCTTCAGTACCCACCGGCATCTTTGGGGAAGGGGTCGCTGCGGACGAAGCATCGCCCATCATAACCGGGCTGGTCATAATCGCCATGTGGTCGACATCCCCAGCTGCTGGTGGTCATCTTCACCTGCACACCCAGTGCCCAAGTTCTGGCACCACGAAATGCCGGGCACATGCATCCCCAGCCTACCCTTTTTGGTATATCAACGCGGCGGGGAACATCATCACCGACATCGTCATCTTCGTCCTCCCACTACCAGCACTGTGCCGACTAAATCTCCGCCGGGGCCAAAAGCTCGCCTTACTCGGCGTCTTCTCCCTTGGTTTCTTCGTAAGCCCCTTTCACGCCATTCACCCCCTCCCCCCTTCCGCCCCCTTCGCCCCTTCGCCCCTTCACCCCCTCACCCCCACCCCCCCAATCCAAACCCACTACTAACCCCCTCTCCCCCCAACGAGCAGACATGCGCCATCTCCGTAATCCGCATCCAATACCTCAAACTCAGCGCCGACGTCACCTGGGACAACGTCGGCGCCTCGTGCTGGTCCATCGGCGAGGTCTGCTCGGGCATCACCTGCGCCTGCCTGCCCACGCTGCGCCCCTGCTTCGCGCGCTGCCTGCCCGCCCTGCGCACGCAGCGCGGCGGTGGTGAGAGTAGTAGTGGTGGTGGTGGCGGGGGGCAGAATAAGAATTATTATCGGCATCCGTCGTTGGCGGTGGCGGGGCGCGATGGTGGAGATGGGAGTGGGGATGGGATTGGTGGCCGTGTGAGGGTGGGTGGTGGTGGTGGGGATTTGGAGAGTGCGAGTGCGAGGGGGATTCTGATGGGGCCGGATGATTTAGAGTTGCTGGCGAGTGAGGAAAGGTCGGATGACCGTTCTGGTAAGGGGATGCGCGTGACGGTGGACCGGGTTGACTCTGTTGAGGATTCTGGGACGGGGTATTATCATGGGCAGTGGCCGTGGGAGAGGGCGGCTGGCAGGTCCAGACTGTCCGGGCTCTCTAGGGTAGGCCTTGAGCCGTCGGTGCATACTGAGGTTGGCGCTGGGGTGTCGAGGCCTGAGGAGGCGGGACCGTTGACGGATAAGGGCATAAAAGTTAGGAGGGATGTCATCTTGAGTCCTGGTCCAAGTTGATAGAGGGGCTGTTGTATTACTGCCTTCATTGTTTTCGATACCTTTTTGCGTAGATTAGATTGGGCTGGGAACCGGAAATGCCAGGCACTCTCCATTAATTAATTAGCGGTAACACGACGACGGCGAACACTCCCGCCAAGCATCGTCGACATATTCCTTTCCTGTTTAAACAATGGTGAATCTGGGGTTTCGAGGGTTGAGGTCCTGAGCGTTCTCTGGGGCAACCACGTACCTAGGCAAACCGCGTATCGTCTGGAGTTCTGGATTGAGCGACCGTACGCCTCGAACCCCCAGCCCCTTTTCAGGTAAGGTACCTATCTCCCCACTTCACGTCCCACGGACCTCGAACATCAGACATGATAGGTACCTAATGACATGCTGGTAATTGCCATCGGTGAATTCTACCGTTATGTGCTCCTTTTTATGCCCATCCCCGCCATGGGAGTGGGGACCTAGAATCTGTCAAGTGTCAGCCAAGCACGGTGGTGTACCGGTATGGGAGTTGCTTGTTTTGTAAACATAGGTACCTGACACGATCTCGGCATGCTCCTCACCGCGTTTTTCAAGGCCTCGAGAATCGTAGTGTTCTTGGACCAACCGCTCAGCTCAGAGATCGATAGCTCATCACGTGAACTTTCTGAATTTGAATTGGCGGTAATCCGCGCTCCAACTTCTTGCTTCAATCCCAGGGTCATTTCTTAACCCTTGAACCAACACATTAGGTACACACCATCCCCGGCCCTCTTTCGACCGGCAGCGACCGGCGGTAAAAATGGTGCTCTCAAGCGTTTTGAGCGCCGGCGTAGGCCGCCTGAAGTCGATGGATGGATGGATGGAATTTATTTCGCCCGGAGGCACTGGGCCTATAGGGCCTTAGCACGCTAGCTACATCCGGATCAGATCGTTTTGCGTTTAACTCGTACAAGCCCCCTACTTCTTCCCTCTTTCTCGCTGCACCATTTACCTCTTGCCTTGGTTGTTGTTAGCACGATCAGCTTGGAGGCTACTTTCTCCAAGTGTTCAGCGTCCTATCTTCAGCAGCTAAAGCGGGACCTGCTGGTTAAGGCTCGTGGTTGAGGCTCGTGGTGTTGAGTGTCGGCTTCTTCTACTGTGACTGGTTTAGACTCTCCTCTTCATTCAGCTCCAGCCTTCCTGTTGCCATTGCGTATTTGATCGTCGCCCGGACTGCCTTCATATCTGGTGACCAATGCCTTGTATCTGATGGCGCTTTCCCTCCCAGATAGAACGAGAGGCTTCCTCGTCTTGCCACTGTGCATTGCAGCATGTCTTCCCTCAGAGCTGTCCATCTCACGCATCGGAAAAGAAAGTGTTCCACTGATTCCCTCGCTTGTCCACAGGCACAAAGGTCTGACTCGACCGCCCCAATCCTGCTCAAAAAACCGTTCAGTCTCGCCATTCCGGTTCGGAGCTGCGCCAATACGCAGGCCTCCCTTCGCTTCAGCTTGTCATAGAGATGGCGCGTGTGCTTGCCTGGTAGTGCTGCGTCCATGGCCTTTGAGAACTTACCCACGCCTACAGGTAGAACTCTTGTCGCCCGTTGTCTTTCCATTGCCAGCCTCATCGCGGTAGACTTGGCCTGGGGTATTTGGGAGTCGGGTGTGCGTCCTTGCTTCGACGCTCTCTGGGCTGCTGCCTTGGCATCTGACCCCAGCGCGAAGTCAATCTCCGCTGGTATCCACAGAAAGTTGACCGAGTTCCCTCTTTGTCGGTGCAGCCTGGCCAAGTCGTAAATTTGCCGTATGATGCTTTGGCCGGATTGCTGCCGCGGCTGTCCAACTGCTGCCAGCGCTGACTGGTTCCTAGTGATCACGGTGATGCGCCTGTGGCAGATGCTAGCCGGTAACTTCTCCAGGGCCATTGCGATGGCTGCTAGCTCTGCTGTATATGGGTTCTGCTCTTCTCTTGTCCCAAGAACAACAGCATAGTTTGTCACAGTCTCGCTAGTTCTGTTGAAGAGAGTATCTCGTGCAAGGGCCGCTCATGCCAACAATGCCCTTCTTTACGGATGAGCTGGTTGCGATCACGATTCCCGAGATTTTGTTGACCATCTCGGCCGCCTTTCCCTCGATCGGCTTCGAGCGTCGGTCGTAGGCGAGGTACCCAGGGCGGGACGGCGTATTCCTGGATTGTCTCCATCCGGTCAACTCGTACTCCTTCAGCCACGCGGGCAATTTTCTGCAGCGGAGATACGAATCGTACGGTGGTCCGGACTTTCTTCATGGCAAGGGGATGCGTTCCGGGCAGCGTGTGGATGTTGATCCACAGACTGGCTGCCGCCTGGACGTGTCGTTCTCGTACAGGGTAGATGCTCGCTTCAGCTTCCACCACGGCTGTTGCCGCGGTTCGAAAGGCTCCCGTGATGGCCAGGGCCCCGATCTTCTGCGCCCTGTTCAGCCAGCTCAGTGCTTTTTCCCCGCACGCATGCATCCAGACATTGGCAGCGTAGTCCATGACCGGGGCTACTGTCGCAACAAATAGCTGTCTCGCTGTCCGCGGGGAAAGCATCTTCAGCCATCTTCAGGGCCAGAGCGGCTGCGAGGCCCTTAGCTGCCGTCCTAGCAATGTGCTGCTTGTAGCGGAGTTCGCGATCCATCACGACACCTAGGATTTTCGCACTTTTCCTTCGGTTTGACCACTTCGCCTTTGACCGAGAACGTTTGTTCTGAAAATCGCTCCATGTTCCTCGTGAAGTGTATGATGGCTGTCTTTTCGCCTTCAAACTGCGCACCGCTCCGTTTCTCCCAGTCAAGGGCTTTTGTCGATGATAGCTTGGATTCCAGTGCGGTTCGACTCCGCTGACGGGCCCGTTACCCAGGCAGTGTAGTCGTCCACGAAGGCAATTGCGCCTCCGTTCGCGTCAATCTTGTGCTGCACTAGGTCGGCGTTGAAGAAGAGGAATAACACTGGAGACAGCGGCGATCCTTGCGGAAGACCCGCTTGGGGCAGCTCTTGCCGTCCAGATGTGAACCCGTTTACGGCAATGGTCGCGTTGCCATCGGAGTGGATGTGGACGACTGCGACTGTGGGGGTGGTTGGGGCAGGTGGCTGGGTGGCTTTAGGCGCGGGCACCTGGGTAGACGACACCTCTGGCTCGGAATCTGTGTCTATGTTGTCCCATTTCGAGTAATCTATGGGTGCCATGGTCGCCAAAACCTTCACTGCCGTTGATGGTTAAATAAAGAGGTTGTTGGCGAGGAAATTGATGGCTCAAAAGCAGCTGTCGGCCTTATTATTCTAGGGCATGAAACCTCTCTAACTATAACTACTTGGAGGAAACTGTTGTGTGGGGCACTGCGTGCCCCGCATGGCAGACCGCCCACATTCTGCCACTTGCCCAGATGTTCTGGTTTAAAATTGCTGGCGTTGCTTCGCTCGTCAGTCGCGCGGCCCTTCGCTGCGCTAGGGTGCGCTTCCTTCCTCTCTCCCGCTCCTGGCAATTTTCCTGTCCCTCCCGGAGGACAATCAGGGTTAGGGTTGAATACGGGAGAGACGAAGCGCCAGCATCTGTCCGTCGGCCAACAACTCCATTCCATCTACTTAAACTTCTTATCACACTTATGCCAATCATTTCTAAAATTGCTGGCGTCGCTTCGTTCGTCAGTCGCGCGGCCCTTCGCTACGCTCCGGGGCGCTTCCTTCCTCTCTCCCGCTCCTGGCAATTTCCCTGTCCCTCTCCGGAGGACAATCGGGGTTAGGGTTGATTATGGGAGAGACGAAGCGCCAATATCTGTCCGTCGGCCAACAACTCCATCTACTTAAGCCATCTACGAATCGTTTCTATTCTGCCACTCACGTTATGTATCTACACTCACGTCCTCACTACTTACAAATCAATTAGACTCCTCTGAGGGAGCCTCCCCCGCCACAGCATCTAACGCCTGCAGTTGCCTGGTAGCGTGATCGGACAACTTCAACCCCATAGCTCGTGATGGTGTCTCGCGGTAGATGCTGCTGCGGTCGAAGGGCCGCTCAAACATCAGCCCGCCGAGTGTCTTCACCCGTGAGACGGCCACGTAGGAGAGGCTAGAAGCAAACTCTGGCGCAGAGATATCGCAGACGACTTTGTCCAGGATGATGCCCTGTGACTTGTGGACGGTGATCGCATAGCTGACCCACAGTGAGAACTGTTCTCTCGAACATGAGTTGGCGCCCTTGAAGTCCTGCCGCACTCGGAGGATGGGGAACAGCCAGCTTCTCTCCACTACGGAGCGGCTCCCCGTTCGGCATCGTGAAGGCCGGGCCGTCGTAGTCATCGAAGGCCACCATGATGACCTCGGGCGGGTCTCGCAGCATGTCGGCACCTTCTTTCCAGGATATGTCGTAGACTGTCCCCTGTGCGCCGTTAACGAGCCCGGGCTTCCGGCCCACAAATTCCGCGTCAGCATCACCCTGCAACCAACACACAAGGGCAAGCGCTTGGCCAAGTTGCCGGCATTTGAGGATTCAACCTTCTCCACACCAACACCATCGTGCTTTGCCTCGACCTGAATGGCGGGGCTGTCTAGGCCAAGCATGTGGTGGTGGTTGTACTCGACGACCTGGCCCTTGGTGGGATAGATGCGAAGCGCATCGGCAAAGCTGTCAACCTCCTCGGGAGAGAGCTTGACAGAACGCCTTGAAGAAAGGAGCTCCCAGGAGGATACCGACACATCAGCAATTCGCAGTTCTTCCAAGGCTCGCCGAAACGGGGCCTGGTCTTCGCCTTGCTGCCGCTGTATTGTGGTCAAAAACACCGACTTGAAACTGATCAATGTTTTGCTCGGTATTGCATCTGCTATATGTCGTTCGTGCCACAGCTGCCTCCGCAGCCCCCTCAACGGTACCGGCCAGAACGACTATCACGTCTTCCATAGAACGTCTGGAATTGAAAAGCGGCAGATGTGCAAACGGCGGGAGTCGCGATGGTCGAGCGGATTGCGAGGGCATGGATGGATGGATTGAATAAACAGGAGCTTCCAGCTGGAGCATGCTTACGAACCAATCGAAACTCGCGATAACGAGCATTTCCTTATCAATTTTGCATAGTAATTTCCTTAACTAACTATCAATTTCGCATAGTAATTTTCAAAAGTTTGAGCGCAATATTGTCCTCCGGACAGGATGAAGACCAAGGGGCTTGATTAGGTATTTAGGTAGTAAAGGGGTCATTACCTACCTAGGTGCCCAAGTAGGTGCGCTCGTTAGCAGTCCACATGGGTTCCAAACTGACACCCCCCCCCCCCCCTGAACGTGTGGATAAAGGGGGACAAGAATCACAAGATTATTCTACATCCCAGGGATGGGGGCGGTTTCCCGGTTTCCGGCCTCGGGGCAATTTCATGGGTTTTGGGGACATGTCCGATTCGCCAAGGGCCTGTACCGGATCCGTCGTTTCGTTCTTGTGGACATCGCTTAAACCGTCGGATATTATCAAGGAGCTGGTGGGGACGTCCCCGGGCGGGCCGGTCCACCAGGGTGTCCTCGTCCACGTGGGCATATCGAAAGACACGGACACTCGGCGGCGGCACCCCATACACTCCATGCATACATACAACAGCAGGCGAGCCTTACGCAGCACACTAGTGCGACATCACACCCCATTGAAATCACTTGTGCGTGTTTGCGGCAAGGGTGTTTGTGGGGCCGCCGCATGTTTCAGGATGGGAGCAAGGGGAATTGATGAGTGAGAAGTCCAGGGTCGCTTGGAATGCCGCCGCGCCACGCGCGCTGAAAAGGGGGTTGACTTCAGTTGAACAAACCCCCACGCCGGTAGCCGCCCGTTAAGATCGAAAAGAGGATGTACTGTAGCATGATCCACGCACATCACAGACAAGGGGCCCACGCGCGCTGGGGGTGCGTGGATGTATGTACACGAGACAAAATACCTACCTCCGATCAGAACATTGAGAGAAACAACGGAAAGGTGGCCATTACAAGTCCATGATACTTCCGTATCCCATTACATACATTATGGGCGCCTTGCTTTTGGGGTAGTGAAAAACATAAAATACAGGAGTTGAGACGGAAGCCCGCGGTCTCCATGGACTCCATCACGTCGACCAGGTTTCCGAGTTCCTTACAGGCCGAAGTCCAAGTCGTCAAGGGGCGGACACACCATGCCCCTGCATTGGTCGATGACAATGGATCAATCCCCTCATCTCCGTCCCTCTGGGAATCCTTTCGGATAAAACATTTGCTCGATAGCTTAATGGCATGGCATATATCAACCATACGCCCGTGGCCCCAAAGCCCAAGTTGGGGACTTTCTCACCATCCTTCCTCTGAGAGAGAACAGGGACAAGACCGCCATTCATTCTTTTTGTACATTTTTTCAACTACTTTCCTTCAGCCATAGGCCTTGACGGTCGTTACTCTTTCCTCTTACCTACTTATCTCCTATTGAGTGCACCGACCTTGCAGATTCCATCACAATCCAACAAAATGCATCAATACGCTTGCCTCGTCAGTCTGCTGCCCCTGGTGGCTGCTCACGGCTTTCTCTCTTCACCTCCTGCGCGCCGCCCTGGCGCTGCCTATCGTGCCACCTGTGGTGAGCAGCCATTTTATCAGCAGAGCTCCGACATCAACGGCAATGTCCAGGGCATCCAGCAGGTTGTAGGGAGCGACGCGACGGAAGACTGCAACCTCTGGCTCTGCAAGGGCTTCCTGCTGGAGGACAACCCTGACCAGGTCCAGAGCTACTCGCTCGGCCAGACCATCGACATCACCGTCAACATCGCCGCTCCTCACACCGGTTATGCCAACGTCTCGGTTGTTAAGACCAGCACCAACACCATGATCGGAAACCCCCTGATCGAGTTCCAGAACTACGCGTCCAACTCCGGGCCTGGACCGCCAACAACACAGCCTTCAGTGTCACCCTTCCGGAAAGCTTGGGCGGCGACTGCACAGCCCCTGGCGACTGCGTGCTCCAGTGGTTCTGGGATGCCCCGGACATTGATCAGACCTACGAGGCCTGCGCCGACTTCGTCGTGGCCGCTGACGGGAATGGGAATAGCCCTTTCGTCAACCTCGACTGTCCCTGTCACCACGGCTTCGGCTCCTGCCACCGCAACTTCGGTCGACCCGGCCCCGGCTACCACCACCACCGCCGTCCCCGGTACCCCCGATGACGAATGCCCTGCGGATGATGGCGGTGATGAGGGCGAGGATGAGGATGATGAGCAGGGAGAGTCCGGGGAGGGCGATGAGGAGTGCCCAGTTGATGGTGGCGAGGAGCCTGAAGAGGACGACGACAGCACCGATGACGATAACGCGGAGTGCCCCGCTGATGATGGGGACAACGCTGCCGCCACCACCAGCTTGGGTGCCAAGGATGTTTCCACCTCGGCCGCTGCTACCCCTACGGGAAGCCACACCAGCACCGTCACTCAGATCGTCACCTCCACCGTCACGACTGAGCGGCTTGTCACTGTGACAGCTGCGGCCACGGCTTGCAACTGAGGCTTGATTAGATAACTTCAGGGGAGATGGGGGGATGACAAGACTGCCAGATGGGTAGCAACTTCGGTTCTTGTATCATACCATTACTTCATTACTTTGTAGCATCCGGAAATGCATGTACAAAACTTCTTTTCCCATTTTTGGCAAACTGATCACAGCTGCAACACATCGTCATCTATTCCTGCATTGCAGCTAGGCTAGGTACACTCCGAACACAAAAGGACTGAGGATTGGAACCGTTTCGGTTTCTACCCTTGCTGCCGGGGGGGCAATTCCAGGTACCTACGGGCTGAGGGCAGGCATGCGCGAGAGAATGCAATATCACTAAGGTATAGTTATTCTCCTGCAATAGTGATGATGGAGATACACGATGCCCGTTCGCCGTCGCAATGCATCAAATCAATGCTAAATCCTCCAAACCCAAAAGCCCAAAAGAAAAGAAAAGAAAAGAAAAAAAAAAACCGCCCCAAACCCATGCCCCTCCCACCCCAGATCCTTAACCCCAACCCCGAAACAAACAAAAGAGAGAAAAGAGAAGCCACCATCAATCCTCATCCCTTTCCACAAACTCAGCACCCAATTCCCGCCACAATTCTCCGACATCCCCCACCGGCCCGCACACTGGTGCATGCACATCCAATCGGGCGCGCGCCGGCTCGCCAGCACCGCCTGCGTCGCCGTCCCGCAGTAGCACTGCACCGCCACCTGCGTGCCAAAGTGCCGCGGCCGCTTGCCCCCCTCGCTGCAGTAGTCGGCGCACCCGGCGTTGGTCATGTCCTCCGCCGACAGGAACGCGTCTGGGAGTACGCGGACCTCCGAGTCGTAGAAGCAGCCCAGGTAGGTCCAGCCGGCGACTTGGATGGTGGGGGGGAGGGGGGCGGGTGGGGGCGCGGTGCTGGAGGTGGTGGTGGAGGAGGTTTGGGAGGGGTTGAGGTTGTTGACGGGGGAGGAGGTGGTGGTGGTGTAGGGATTGTTGTTGTTGTTGTTGTTGTTATTATTGTTGGTGGTGGTGCCGTTGGCTGCTGATTCTGCGACTGCGACGGCTAGGGGTGAGATGGTGTTTTCGAGTTTGGCGATTTTGGTGCCGAGGATGCTGCTGACGACGATCAAGGCAGCGATGATAAGGAAGAGGACGGCGGATAGAATGATCATCGGGAGGCGTGAACGGGAGGGCCCTCTCTCGCCCCTCTCGCTTTCTGAAGGCGTTGAAGGTGGTAAAGGTGCTAGTGGTGGTGGTGAAGGTGGCCCATATCCATGGCTCGTCTGGCTCAGCTGGGAGGACTCCAGCTTGCGGATGAGGTCGACATCGTTCTCGGATGCCGGCTTCCTCCATGGAGGCAACACGGCCCTCTGAGGATGCCCACTCCACACAATGAGAGAACCTTTTATAATCCGCTCCCGGTTCGGGATGGGAAGGTTCGAGCCCTAAGGGGTACTCGGTCAGTCATGATAGGCAGGTGTCATTGAGAGCGAGTCCTCTTACATCGTCAAGTCCTCCGTATATCATGGTGCCTGTTGGGGGTAAATTAATGAACAGGACAAGAGGTAGTAGCCTGGAGGAAAGCGACGTGGAGTGCGAGTATTGGGCCCGAACATGTTTAAGGATATGCCGATATGGTGGCCTTCACCCGAGTCCGCTCGCGGCGTCGACCAGGCATCCGCAAGAGCAGCGTCTGAGCTCGGTGGGATTCGTGGCGATAACCGCGAACCAAAGAAACCAGCGATCGGTTTCCCACGCTGCAGGGTTGCATCCTTGGTATTGAATCCGTCGGGGCGGCACGGCACAGTTCGCTCAGTCTTCGCTGCAACACAAGCTGCCCTTGGCATATTCTAGGCGCCCTCCCCTGGCACCCCTGGCACGCTTCCAGCCCCTTGATAGGCAGCAATCTGATCTCACAACCGTGCCATTCTTGAAGAAGAGGAAAGGCGCCGTTCCACCTTACTTATTTATTCCCGACTGCATACACTAAATAGCTGGCTTAACCCCATCAGTCGTCAGTGCTACTCAAAGTTCCTCTGTGAAACGATCTCACTCCCCCAAGCGGTCCCAGCACCAGCAGGCGAGTGCAACTGCCAAGATGCTACCAAAATCTTCGAAACGACCGGACAGCGGACAGGGGGCACATTTAAGCTTGGTTGCAGCAGAACCTGTCTATTACCGGCACAGCCACCTGAAATCGCTGATACCTAGATCCGAGGCTTGTTCGAGTCCGAACCATTCAGAGTAGGATGTGCCGTCTGAGCACCGATCCGATCTGGCGAGGGACTTGCAAAATGTTACCGCTTGGGGATATGCCCTTTAAGCTTCTTTTTCTTTCCGCTGACTGCTTAGCAATACATAATGAAACCATTGATCTATGAAATGTGACTTGGCCGCATCAATAAGATGATCCTCCCCTGACTTGATCGCTAAGCGTATGGGAAGTGACTTCGTTTGTAGGTGGTACGGTCCATCGCGGCCAATTTCATATCCTAACTCCGGACCCTGGTTCTCTGATTCATCCGGCTCAGCCGGTTTAGATGTATCCAAGTCTAAAACGAGAAGATAAAAGGAGTGAAGCGAAACCCGCGAGCCCCATTTCAACGCAGATCAAAAATATCGCGGTAACCCCGAAGAATGACTGAACCAGACGTTTAAGGTGTAACAGGTCAGAGACACGGTAGCCACCTTGCCCCAAAATGACACACCACTACCCAAAGACAAGCCATGACAAGTGCGTAGGAAAAGCCAAGATGCAACTCAAAAACAGGTACAGGAGTCCTCATTTCACAGCCTCACTTCCTCCCCGGGTTACTCTCCCTCCAAGCCTCCTCCCCAGCACCGCGATACCCCATCTCCTCCTCCCCTCCAACCCCAACATCACAATCCACTCCAAGCCTCACCCCCTCCCCGTCACCCTCCAAAACCCCATAAAAATACCGTCTCCCCATCCCCTTCACCCTCTTCTCCCTCTCCTCCCCACTCAACCTTGACACTCCCCCAAAGTCCGCCACCATCCCACTCCTCGCCACATACCACATCAGCCCGGCGACACAGCGCGGATCAACCGGCATGGGCGGGTATCGGACCGCAAACGACGCGCCCAGCACGGCGATCAGCAGGCCCAAAGCCACACAGCTCAGCACGGCGCATACCGTCGCCGCCGTGCCCGTCTGCGCGAGGTTGAAGGGCACGTTGGAGAGCACGACGGGCAGGAACTCGGAGAAGGCGGCTGCGAGGGAGACGGCGAGGAGGAAGGGTTGGCGGTGCTGGGTGGCCGAGTAAATGCCGGAGAAGGGGTTGGTGGGCGGGACGAAGAGAATGGAGCGTCCGGGTGGTTGGGTCCGTTGCGAGAGGAGGTGAAAGGGGGTCATGGTGCTGACGCCTGTGGTGAAGGGATGGTGAGTAAGTGCCTAAGTGGTGCTGGAAGAGGGAGATGTGCCTAAAGGGCAGTGGGCGTAAAGGGAACTTACTGAGAAAGAAAGATTGCCAGCAAAAGGCAATGATCACACCGATGATGGCAGAAACAAACCGCACACCAAAGTGGTTAGAGCTGAGGAACAACCACAACCGGCCGTTATCGCGGATCTCGCCGCGGTAGTAGGCATGGTAGTAGATGATGAAGATAAGCAAAGCCAGCTGGAAAAGAATAAACGCGATCCGCCACGGATACCGCAGCGCCATAAACGGCAGCTGCTGGTGCCGACG